ATAGTATTATAGATGCAAGTACGTACTTGGCAGAGATCAAAAAAGTACTTCAACAGTTAATTATCCATTAAGTTAATAAACCTGGATATTCAGTGGGGTCGTATTAGAATAATCTCCTATCGATTATCTGTCCTCTCTAGTTGCGATTATGCAAATTCATCTATACGTGACAAGTTTTTAAACTTGATTTTGTCGAAAGTGCTATCTGCAAAGTAATTTTGTTGTTCTTGATTTTCGTTTCGACCTACAGAATTTACTTGTCCGCTACACATCGAATTTAGGACAATGGTATGTATCTTAAGTTTGTATAGTGTAGCCGAATCAAGATCCAGACAACACACTTATTACACTCTTCGTCCTCTCGAGCGTCGTAGGAAAGAGAGATACGCAATCCGGTGTATACGTGAGGCGACTGCTTAATCGGCGAATCATTATAATTCCTTTTCGCAGGCGGCAATTTTGCCTCGAAACCATCCGCGTGCAGACGTGATCGTAATTCTCATTATCGCGGTGGCGCATGGAAAAGTTTCAACCCCGCCAAGTGGAATTCGAACAATTCCTGCTGGCCAGGACTGACTGGCAAAAAAATTGCTTCGTCCCGTAATAGATCTGGTAAAAGAGAAGAGCGTATTTAAAAGAGGGTTAGCTAACGAAGAAAGAAAAATAGCCAACGAGCTATAATAGAGTCTTCAGAGTATGAAGAGGGACTTGTTAAATAGCAGAACGTGTTATTTAACTTGAACGTACGGTCAGTTTTAGCACGCATGTCCTTCGTCCTGCTTTCAACTACTTTAGACAAGTGAAACGTTCGTTCCTTGTGTTTGCGCTTGGGCGTTTAATTTTTCAACCGAAAAAATTATGTACACGGTTGAGATATCAAAGAGAATTGTTTACTATTTTGGGCGATATATACGTAAAAATTTAATAATCGATTCAAAAATGGGTTTAAAAGGAAAATTTCAACATTTTAGTAGGATCTTTCCGGTGTATAAATTTTTGATATTCCAATATTTCACACTATAAATGTCTACGGGATGTTCAATATTAATACTTAATACGAGTGCTTTTAAAAAGCTTCTGAAAGTAATTGATAAACAGAATTTTTAACTACCATGATCAATAATACTAAATGTTCAAAGAAAATCCATCGTATTTATCGTAAAACAACATCATAATACGAAAACACTGTTTGGCATGATACGAAAATCCAGAGCTTTCTATTCTAAACTGTCACGTATTATTCGCATTCCTTACGATCATATTCTTTGGTTTACATCTAAAGAAAAAAAAAGCTTACCAAGCTATTTGTCGAAGACACGTAGAAAATTCTTGTTCTTCATATCTGAAATTCACTGTGCAAAACCAACGATAGCCGTCAGAAGGTTAGGGCGGTTTCGAGCAAAAAGAATCAACGAGAACGGTGTCAAATCTTGCGCGATTCCGCGCGGAACGGAAACGAGGGAGCGCGCGGTCGTTCCGGCTGAACTGCGGACCCGTAATTTACCGAGCGTTTTTAGCCTGGCCAGTCCCGTTGGATGGATGGATAACGAGAAAAGTTTTTCGCCCGGGACGCCTGCTGGTCTTTACATTACGCGCTGCAACTCGCTCGTTTCTCGTTCGCCTGGCTCGCTCCATTTCGCGCGATTGAGTGCTACAAGAGGGAAACGTCGCAATGTCAATCGTTTCGCTACGTCGGCGTAGCGCGTTGCCCTACCGATCTGTAAATACGATCGTTTCTAAGGGAAGATTTGCGAGAACGAGCTTGACCCGTTATTCTTTATTCATTCCACGATCGTCATTCTTTCGCGGTTGAAAAAGGAAAGGTAGTAGAGCGATACGTTTGTTCGTCAGAATTCTAATTTCAAACGAGTTTTCCGAGCTAGCGAAATTCCGAATTGGCTCGTGACTCTGCTACGATCCTTGAATTTTTATGTTTCAGGAAGATGTTTAACGTAAAATTGAAGCGAGAATATACATATCGGTAATAATCTTTTTATTTAGTTGTAACCGAAGATATTTTTTATTGCCAGAAAAAATATAATTGGATGGAGAATAAGCGGAAGAGCGTTGCAGGATTAAAAATTGTTTGATTTTATGGGACGCGTAGCGACTACAAACTTTTGCTCGATGATATATGTAAAATTCACATTCGGTTTATAATCTCGAGTTCGTAAATCAGTTGATCTGAAAATATCGAATAGCTTGAAACTTCAACGACCGATATACTCATTTTCTATCAACGATCTCAAGTATTATCGAGCAAGCGTTCGAGTGCTCTACGTTACCCGACATAAAAGAGAAAGATTTAAAATTCAAAAACGACGATGCTTGCTATCGCCTGAATTGCTTAAACTCGCGGAAAGAGGGTCGGATAAAAGATTGAATAAAAGGTGCTCGACAATCGGCGGATACTTTTCACGCTCGCGAAATTGGCTGTCCGCTTTCGTCACAGTACTGGATTGCCTATAAAATCATTCGACGTCCATCGATCCTTCCCCTTGTCGATATGAATATCTATTAAACGCAATTCACGTCTCGCAGCGCGACGCGACGTGGCGATTGTCGCAGTAAACGTCAAGTTGGCGTCGTTTTTGCCGGTTGATTGACGTCGTAAAAATCCGACACGAATATTTCCTTTTCAAATGATAGACGCGACGACACCGATGTTTAAAAAAAACAATTCTCTGAAAAGCACACCTTTTATTTTGTATACACGCAGAGCGATGAAGTGTCGTTCGAGTGAAAAAAAGAAAGAAAGGAATTGAATGGAGGATAATTGAAATGAACCGGCGAGTTTGTCTGAATGATGGAAGTAATATTGGTGAACTAAATTATGGAAAATATTTATTGCAGCGCTGCTGTGTATGGATATGTATGACACCTGTATTCGGTATGTTATTTACGTTTTATGTTTTCTATATGAAAAATTTTGAAAACTCTACAAATGCAATTAGAAGTTACTGACGTCCTATCGTGCTAGCGAACATAGTTATCGCGTGTCATTGCAATCCAATTGGCGAACTGTGATAAATATTTGGCTGAAATCGATAGACATTTTGTACGAGAATAAATTTGTTACGTAATGGAATTATGTCACGTGGAATTTTTATTGTAATTCGAAATAGCGATTGGACAAGATCTCGAAAAAGGGGAAATGTAGCGAAAATTCTCAAAGTATTTTAATAAAAGAACATTTCAAATACGTTTATCACGTCAAAATCATAAAATCGATGTAAAAGACTGATATAGGGAAAACTATTTAATCTACGCGTATATTTCTTAATTAGAGAAACGGCGCGGAAATTGTATGTTCGTTGCTAAGGTGTTTGATAAATTAATTTGTTTCATAAATAAAGAAGTTATAGATCTAGAATCTTAACTATACGATTTTATACGGTTTCCTATACTAATCAGTACTATATACATACAAGGGATATAGAAGACTCGTAGCTACGCTGCACGTTTCATTCTACGGATTGATAATTACACACGATATCTTACGATAAACCGAGCATCCGTATCGTCTTCGAAGATTCCAAAAAATCATTTTCAGGCTCGGAACTTCAATCGTAATTTCCATCACGATTCGTTCCACAGAATCAGAGCTTCGAGAACGAACAAAAACGACTAAAAACTCGCTGCAAGAAAGTAAGACGTTTGGCGGTGGAGAGAATTTTTCGAGTATCCATATTCGCGGTCTCGGATTCATATTTCCACTGCATCGGATATTCAAACTCTATTCCTAGGCCAGGTAACCATTTCGTTCGATAGTCTCTCCCACCCTTTGGGGCCAGTGTGCTTCGCCGCGCCGCTAAAATGGCAGAAATCGATGTACTCAAATATTCCATGAATACCGCGGCAAAGATTTCTGAGCTTAAACGCGATGCGATACATAGTTATCGCGTTGGGAAATTATTTATACGATCGCATGCTTTACGACCAGGACACATCGAATCTCCTCTCTTCATCGACAATCCACCACCTTCACAAGGATTTTTAACGCTTTAACGGGAATTTTATCCGTCGACTGATCCAGTTTTCGTGACGCAATCTGCGTTACAACGGACCCTTTCAGGCTCCCTACGTGCACAAGGGTTATGTATTCAATATGTAAACCATCTGATAGTATGATCGATCCTTCCTCCCTTTCTGTTTTATTTCCATTCTTTGGGCGTACGAGTTGAGAAAACTTCGAATACGTTGCTTTTTATCTGCTACTTGATAGCATCGAGCGGGTAATGTTACCGTTGCTTGGATACTTGGATTTGTGGAAAAAGATGGAGTCAAAGAATAGCGCAGAGGAAAGATTTTTATCTCTGAAACAACTCGAATTTTGAGAATAAACCTGGTTTTAAAGCCAAGCTGTCAGAACCGAAGCAAATATGTCATGGTATATCTTTTGCATGTTTTGACACTAGAACTACCGGCATTTGAGACATAGCTATCTCTACCAAAGCCAGTCAAAACGACTGGTCTTTAAAAAATACGTAATAGTAGAATATTTGTATATTTATCGATCTATTATTATCTTACAAAAGGAACTCCATGTTCCGAGATCACAAAAACTATATAATAACAACTTTAATAATAACAATAAGTACAATAGTGAAGAATATACAGTACCAAAACCTTTGGTAACAAGAATATTAATAGATGTTTCAAAACATAGTTGCTTGAGTTTTTAATTGGCCTTAAATTGCGACGAAACGTGATTTCATCATTAATTTCAAAGCCTTCTTTTTACCGTACTTTAACAAATTCAAGCAACCCTCTCAAATTTTACAAAGATACACTCTCGATAATATACGGTTAAACTTAATAACGATACGAATATTCAATAACTCCAAAAAATAATTAAACGATGGATTATCGTATAATAGGATTATATTGCTTAAAACATTGCCCATCCGTTTGGCAACCCTTGAAATCGATATTCGGCTGAGCCACAGGCTCGTTTGTTCGGACGAATGACTTTCGAAGAGAAGAAAATCGATACATACCTGAAGAATCCCACGTATCTGTCCGCTCTTGGTCTCGACGATGCGCGAAGCGTAGCGGATCTGCGTGGCAGCTCGCGATACCTCGCGACCGATCAACACGAGGACAATAATCAACACGAGGCAGCTTTTCGATCTGCTCAAGGACCTCGTGACCAGCGGCCTCTTCCTGGCCGCCGGCTGGCATGGCAAGAGCATGACAGCATTTGCTGGCGGCCACTCGAAGCGACGCCAGCAGCATAACCGTCGAACACGACTTCAGCCACGGCCTCGAAGGTCTGCCGACCGCTCGCCGAGATCACCTCCGCTTGATTCTAAACATTCGAAATAATTTCGCTTTTCAACAAATATTTTATTACCTATCGGTTATCGTATTAATTCTTTTTTACTCGCACAGGCTACAGTATAATTGTAATTCTGTACCAACGACATTCAACCTTCTTCGCGTCATGACACAAGTAAACTAATTATTAGAATTAGTAATAATGATCTAATGTACAATATAAAATTGTTCCATATAGTATACCATAAAGCCTAACGTAATAATGTTTCCAATAGAAGCACTATTAGTAAAACGAAAGGGCTACTTTTTCATCAATTTTCTCCATAAATATACTTCCAACTACATTTACGTCAACGATTAACCAAGATCATCTTCGTTCCATGAGATGCTCGATTTATTTGAAAAAATAGCCCGCGGCAATCTCCTACACGCGTCTTATAACTCCGTCAAGATTGCATCGAGAGACTTACCTCAGCCGTCACCGGAAGCGATACAATGTTCTAGAGGTACTTTCAATCAGCGGGACGAGTCTCGAGTTATTTTGTAGGCCATACAACGTTCTTCGCCAACGAATCGCTTCGTAACTTCGTTATGCAAAACGTCTTTGAGTAGTTGCAGCTCGCGTGGCCCGCGGCTGAGATCCAGCCAGCCACTTCTGTTTCTTTTTCGCCTGTTCCTACCTTCCTTTCCTAACCCTCTCTTTCGGCTGTGCAAGTTAAATTGCACTCAAAACATCCCTCGAACACAGGAGGGAAGAACATGGCCCAGCCTGAATACTTTTTTCTCGTTTCCATGAGAATTCTCCTGGCTGCACGATCCTGGTCGTGGTTCTTTCCGAAATCGACGTGGCTGTTTCTAAATCGCTAGCGACCGAGGGACGATCTGAAATCAAGAGAAGGCGAACGTGAGTCCGGTTCTATGTAGAAGAAAGGATGTTAGGGGGGAGGGAGGTGAGAAGCTTGATCAGAGGGATGCCCCGAGGGAAAGCAAGTTTTCTCGAAGCAATCAGTGCCACTCCATGCTTGTATTTTCCATTGGATCGCTATTCTCATTCTCAACTAGCTGTACATATCTGCACTATGTTACTTTCCCTTCTCCAAGCTGCGTTTCTCTATTTCTTTTTAAATAAATCTCGATAATTTGAAATTCGAGACAACGTCCGTTCGAATTTTCAATGAAAGTCGAAGCTTCTGGTAACTACAGATGTTAGATGCGATTACATCGATGGATGTCGTTACTAAACGCTCAAATTTACATTTTCGTTATATCGGTTCTATCGATTGTACGTAGGCTTGCGACGAGCAATCTTTCGCGCTGCGAGATAAATCTTTAAAGCTGACAAGCTGCGCCGGATCGTGGTGGAAGATTGGACGAGGTTCGAGCGAAAAGAGCAAGATTAGCCCGTACCGGATGCTTCGTCTTCTCATAAGTAGCGATTTCAAATGTTTCGCGAAAACAACATTCGCGACAAATAGACCGAGAATGTTTCTGCAAATCTTGATAAATATAATTGAAACATTTACACCTACTAAATACTTCTACTTGGAACGAATATTACATTTTATGTATTTTATATACGTTCGTATTTTATATCACGTACATTTAGTGCAGTTTTGCACCTTTAACTTTACCATAAATGCACAAAACTCCGTAGTCTAATGATAACTGCGTAGAATCTCGTGTATGTATTAGAATGTGCTTATTTTCATTCGTGATTGTTTCTTTGTAAATTTGAATTTCGTACGTATGAATAAATAAACTTCATTATTTTATGGTAATTTGGAAAATTTAAATTGGATGTTTTTAAACCTCTGTAATATTTTCCTTTGGCAGACGAGAGGAAAGTAGGAATTATAAAGTGGACAAACGAGAAGTGAGTGTACGCAATAAATAATATCCGTACGTATTCATTAGTCGCGTATCGGTAAATGAGAACTGAATTCTACGTTTCACAGTACAACAATTGTTAATTGTTTTAAACGTCAGTGTTTGAACAAGAGGCAAATTTTAATTGTATCGTAATTTCAATTATTAGAATGCTTCGAGCCAGATAGATTTACAGGCGATTCCGTAAAAGCTTTCGTTCGAGCTTTCTCTTGTTACCTTTGCAAGCCTGTCATTATATAATTAAATTAATGCAATGCGATCCAAATAAAGAGTCAAAGAATTAAAAAAAAAGGATGTAGCAATCAGGTACCTTGACTTCTTTTCATTATTTTCTTCTAATTAAATAATTAACTCTCCCACGGGCGTCGATAGGTCTTTTTACATTCAGGAAGTAATTTCTTTCCCTTTATCCTCGCTTGTAATTTTTCACGAGAATAAAACTTTTGATACGTATTATTCCTTGTATTATTTTATTACATATTTATTACTTACATTTAGCATTGTTGTGTTTTAAATACATCCCAGATTAGTTGATAAAACATTTATTTTTATTTATTCGTCGTGAGAGATTTTCTTTTTTAATTCTAAGAAAATTCTTCCGAAATTCACTGATCCTCGATTACGTGGTATTCGCGTGTTCATCGAAAATTCCAGATAAGGGCATACCTACGTAGTTAAGGGTGCATTCGAGTGTAAAGAATGAGTGAGCCCGCGAGAACACGATTTGGAACCGTTATTCATGCCGCTAACAAAACGATTTGTCAACTTTATCGTTAATGCAACTCCTTGCGAGTTTCATAGACCTTTCAGGCTTCGTCCAGTGATAAAAAGAAACGTCGCGTGTCTCCTTCGCGTAGATTAACATTCTCTATGGTCCCTTCGAACACGATACCATCCTGACAGAAATTTATTATTAATCGAACTCGAACTTTTTTCATTTGTACCATGAAAAATTAAGCTGGAACGCATGCAAATACTCGGAGTGTTTCGCGTTAACGGAAGAAGACTCTTTGAGAATCCTAATGGATTTTCTTCTAAAGGACCAGCACCGTACTCAGCTAGCCGCAGAATGGAAAAATCTCTTTGATGCTCGACAAAACAATCTCTTTTCCGGTGAAATCGGGCTAATGATTCTGGTTTTCTTGAAAAATATGTGGAAAAGCGCGTATAAAACGGACACGAACTCTCAAAGCTTTGATGGTGTTTCAGGATTTAAGGGAATTCATACTGAAAAGTTGTACATAAGTACGGCGGGATATTGCACTGGTAAGCGAGGTTTTCAGCTCTTCAAAGCGAATCTTCATGGAGAACACCTGTTTTCCGGAAGTTAATACGTACAAAATAGAATTTCCCATCAGACTGGTGCGTTAATTTGCAAATTCTTACAGAGAATGCGAATATGTAAATGTTAACGATAATATTAATTTCTTTAAAATATTTCGAATCGATTGTCGTCGTGATATTATTTAACTTTAAAACCGATCTCAAAATTTATGTAGAGATTACAAGGTGCCCATTACAAACATATATGTACCTACTTGATAAAAAAGCCAGTCTACGGTATGAATTGAGTGAAACGAAATTTGTTTAGAGAAATTGCAAAATGTTTCGTATAGCATATACAACATGGACCTAAATATTTTCTATTACAAGTGTTTAAATACTTTCATGAACCAGCGTATATAACGCATTATCAGTTGTATTAATGAAATAACGTAGAACGCGCATGATGTGTCGTTGGTTTCGAATGGGTTAATAAACGATCTTCGTCCAGCTCTCCATCGCGCCCTTTTAATTCAATTGCACTCCCATTGGCGCGTTGACGGGCTATCAGAAAGGGAAAGCAGTCCGCCTAACGATTTGATCGAGGGAAACAGGATTGAGGCAGCTGAACGCATTTCCGGCCAAGTCACCGAGGGGACGAACCCGCCGGTCGAGGAATCGAAGTTCCGCTAATTTAATTCCGAGTCTCAATTATCGGTCGCGTCAGATTCCCTGAGCGGCTCTAACTTTCAAGCCTCTGCATCCCCAGATAAAGGGGGTTGGTTCGAGCGCGCGTAATACAGCCGCGAGATCCTGCCCCTGTATTCCGCCACTTTATCTTGGGATTGACGTTTCATCCACGGAAATCGACAGCCCGAGAACCGACGGGATTGCTTTGCGGCCGCATGCTCGCCGGGGAATAAAGGCGAAAGAAACAGCAACAAAATGGTGCAAAACCCGGGGAAACAGCGGAAGCAAGGCGAATGGGAGCGGGAAGATTGTTGTTCTGCGGGGAAATTTGAAGCTGACTCGAAGGAAAGAGTGATGGGATATGGCTGAGGAAGAATACTTGTGACAAGATTCTTGGCTGACGTCTTCGTAGAAAACGAATTTCATGTTTATGATTAACTACCGTTGTTTATGTACACCGACTTAAAATAGTATTTGAACTTTTACTACAAAAAATTTATTTATAAAGAATATATTATGTGCGTTATAGGAAATATTTGGAAATTTTTATGATAAAATTTGAAAAATGACTAAATAGGTTATCTTTATCGTAATGTAAGAATTTCGAAAAATAAAGTTTCAATTTATTGAAAGATAAGGTTTATAACAAGATATATTTTTAGCTGAAGGTAATTAAGGAAAGCTGATGTAATTATTATTTTAAAATTGATAATGATTATGAGAATGAGACAACGTGTAACATCCTGGAAAAATTCTATTGCAATTTTACGCAAAAACGTAAAAACGTGTGCAACGTGACCAATATCACCAATAAAGTGAAAGTATTAGTAATTTGATTTAAGGTCGGCATAAATTTTACAATTCGTCAATTCAGCAGTCTCACTGATACTTTTCTCTTTAGCGAGACTATTAAATTATCTTTTTTACTGTGGCAGTAAAGTTGAAACGATAGCGCGTTTTACAATTCGAACAAAATACTTCCCACTAAATATTGCAGTCTATAAAGTGTTTGAATGATTCGGAAGAAGAGCGGGTCGATATTTAGCACGAAGTTGGCAACGCATGCGCTTCGATTATGTTTCGTATCGAGCAACTTCAGGCCACTGGTACTCCACAGTGCTGCTGAAGCTATTGGGAGGGGAGGGTTTTTCTGTCAATAAAACCTCTTCTGTGATTCTTCCATAAGAGAAATTCTTTTTTATGTAAATAATTGAAACGTTAACATTCCTGAACGAATTGCCGGAACATGTAAGTACTTATATATGTGACAAATTTTTCCCTGAAATTCATATCCAGTGTTTTTGACGTACCATAGATGTCAAATTAAAACTTTCCATGGATACATTTCTCATCCGTTCTTCTAGTAGTTCTTTACATTACGATTTTGGTATAAATTTTGTGCATCGTATTGTAAATTTTGCATTGAACTTTTCCTTTAATTAATGTACTTTTGTTTGATAACATAACCTCAATCACGTATTTTCCATACTCGGTTTATCGAACGTTCGCATTTGTCATTCCTTTTTCTTCCTCTTCGCAATTTCACATTTTTAGTAATGATTGGCATATTAGGATAACGGTTAGGTTTTTTTTAGTTGCAGTATAACAAATTTTCAAGATGTCGACGTCTGCGATATATATTTTAGACGTGAAGGGGAAGGTTTTGATTTCACGAAATTATCGTGGAGACATAGAAACGGGTGTTATAGAAAAGTTCATGCCTCTCGTAATGGAACGCGAGGAGGAGGGCAATCTTACTCCGATCATACAAACCACAGAATGCACATATGCATATATAAAGTACAATAATTTGTATATCGTATCCACTACAAAGAAGAATGCAAACATTTCCTTAGTATTTGTATTCTTGCATAAACTGGTGCAAGTGATGCAAGAATATTTCAAGGAATTGGAAGAAGAAAGCATACGAGATAATTTTGTAGTCATTTACGAGCTTCTAGATGAATTAATAGATTTTGGGTATCCGCAAACTACCGATAGTAAGATATTACAAGAGTACATTACGCAGGAAGGACATAAACTTGAAATTCAACCGCGCATTCCCATGGCTGTGACTAATGCTGTATCCTGGAGATCAGAAGGTATAAAATACCGTAAAAATGAAGTGTTTCTAGACGTGATAGAGTCTGTGAATCTTCTTGCAAATGCTAATGGAAATGTTTTAAGTTCTGAAATTGTGGGTGCAATAAAGATGAGAGTTTATTTGTCTGGAATGCCAGAATTAAGACTCGGTCTTAACGACAAAGTATTATTCGAATCTACAGGCCGTGGGAAGTCCAAATCTGTGGAATTGGAAGATGTGAAATTTCATCAGTGCGTCAGATTGTCTAGATTCGAGAACGACAGAACAATTTCATTCATTCCTCCCGATGGAGAGTTTGAATTAATGTCTTACAGACTGAATACACACGTGAAACCTCTGATATGGATCGAATCTGTCATTGAGAGGCATGCCCACAGCAGGGTAGAATACATGGTAAAAGCGAGATCGCAATTTAAGAGACGTTCTACGGCCAACAATGTAGAAATAGTAATCCCAGTACCCAACGATGCAGACTCGCCCAAATTTAAGACTACCATCGGTAGTGTTAAATATTCACCAGAGCAGAGTGCAATAACTTGGTTCATTAAGTCGTTTCCTGGTGGTAAAGAATATCTGATGAGGGCACACTTTGGTCTACCATCTGTCATTGGGGAAGACGTGGAAGGGAAGCCACCAATTCAAGTAAAATTTGAGATTCCGTATTTCACTACTTCTGGAATCCAAGTGCGCTATTTGAAAATTATAGAAAAGAGTGGGTATCAGGCACTACCATGGGTGCGGTATATCACGCAAAATGGAGATTACCAGCTGAGGACGAATTAAACGTAAGAAATTTATGGAGGAAAAAGGCAGAATGTTTGACACATTACGTTAATGTTAATCAGAAATGCAAAGGTGAAAACTAGTCGGTTTGCTACGCTTCCGAATGTTTACAATTAATTTTATGGTAATTTTCGGAAAAGATCGTGATCTGTATAGAAATTAAGATCTTGTAGAATGTTTCTAGAAACTAGAGTTTGTGATATCGACCAATAATTTATCGTCATTGATCTTTATTTGTCGGATTTAGTGTAATTTTAATTTTTTTTACAGTTTTAATACTCGCTCATATTTTGTACATTTTCTTCATGTTTTGTATATAATTTCTTAGGAACATTTTCAATATTCTCCTCTCATACTACCATAAATCGCGCGCAAAGGCGATGTACTTAATTTATTGACTGTATGTTTTTTCCCATTCCATATTGCAAATGTGTACTACAAATAGTATTTTCCACATACAGGGGCAACTGTAGTATACATTAAATTATCCAATATAAAAAAAGAGAAGAATTGTAAATATGTAGGAAACCATGGTATTTGAATGTCTTCATGGAATTGTTAACGAATTATAGGCATTTTCCGGTATTAATATATGTGTAAGTTCTAATAGTATTACAAGTTTATTATTGTATATCAGTATGACAAGAGATAATAATGTTGTTATTATTGTAAACAATGTATTAGTAATTTAAGACATTGAGATGTATTAAATTTTTAATAAAAACTATCTATGTTTTTTCTTATTATCCCCAATTTTCTTATAATAAATCCCAATTTTTCATTAAGTTTTAGATACAATATCCAAATTAATCAAAGTTCATCATGAAACTAAATATGATTTTATTAAAGATTTGTAAGTTCGAAATCTTTTTATCTGCTAAATCATTTGAAATTTTTCTTAGATTTAATTCGATGGACCTTCTGTGCACATTTTACTCTTTCATTTCGTACCTTAACATATAGACCGTTTATTTACCATCTCCTGTCCACGACCGACTATTTACTCAACTGAAGGAAATCACGTCTGAAGAAAACTGTAGAAGATTTGTAGAGGAACAGAGAGAAAATTAGAATGGAGGGACAAGAAGGAGGAAAGAAAATGCATTCCCTAGCGGTGGAAGAGTTGCTATCCTCTACTTCATTGATGATTTGACTTTATAATCGAGACGGTCTCGTTCAATTACGATGGAATTTCTCGCAGAATTTCGTGCAAACAGTGCTGGGATTCAGGACGAATCGATCGTCCTAGTAAATATCTCTTTCTCGTAGTTGGATTCGGGCGGGATGCAGACGATCTAGAGTCAATCAAATAAACCATCTCCAAGTTAACGATTATTACGGTAGGAGGAAACAATATTTGTCCATCTATACGGCAAATACATTTGTGCCGTTTGCTACGATCGGTTACGTTCTCTCTTACGGCGAAATTTCTGATTTCGTTGATGAGACTCGGTCAGCAGTTTCCCGGTTCTCCATACGTTGGCTGCTTCCTCTATTTTTCTCTCTCGGATAAAATAGCGAAAGAGATTGGTTAACGTGCGAAAACACTTGATGCAGCGTAATTGTGTTATCGTGGAAACAAACTGGCTGCACGGATTTTTAAATGTAAACACATTGTTTTTCGATTTAATCTATTTACTCGCTTGTTTCGAGCAGTGTTTTTTTTTAAATAGGAAAATCAAACTAACGATATTACGCGTTCTGTATGAGATTTCCTGTACGAGTAATTTTAGTGTCATGGTTTATATATTTCTGTATCACTTTTATTAATTCGTTGAAGTCATTGTTGAACTTCTGTTATATAATATTTTTGTCTGTGATGCTACTGTTTTACTTTTATTGCGAATATTACATATATGTGATATATTTCTTTTATTATTTTTATTATTTACGACATCGTCAGTGTTTGATTTCAGGTATATTCTCGTTTATGGTATCGCTGATTTGTTCCTATTATTGATATATGAAAAATATACTTTTTTTTATTATTCTTGTTATTTCTTTCATTGCTGGAATCCTCTATTTACTATCTTTATACTGCATTGTTCCACAAGCCAAGCATTATTTTTTCTTTTTTTATTCAGCTTTTAGAGTGGAAAATTTTCTAGACGAAATAACGCAAAATTTGTGTTATCGTTTTATTATATAAAAATGAAATTCAAAATATAATAAAATATACTTACAAAAATAGCCTTTATAAGCTATCGTTTGTTTAGTCATGGTTTGAAATTTTAACTGCTCGATTTTGCGTACTTCTGGTCAGACTTTGTCGCGTTGTATCTTGCACCTTGTACTTGTATAAAAATTCAAGACCTTAGGATGACTTTGTAGCGTAGATTTTTAATCGTGAAAAGTACATGTGCGATATACTAGTGACTACATCGCCAGATTTTCATAACGTTAAATATCAAATTTCAATAAAATGCAATGAAAGGAAAGACGAAGAGGATTCGATCGATAGAACCTTTTTCTCGGAAGCCCTCTTCACGGTTTAAGTCACGGTTTTATACTTTATCGGTAGAACGACATCGTAAATTACATTTTAATTAAAATTGAAAGGCTTCGATCGTTGTACGCAGTTTCACGGAGAGGAAGGGGTAACAGCGACCGGTCGGTTCCCGCGCCATCTTCTACTTTCCGTTCTCCTTTCAAAGCTCACGTAGTCAAACGAGGTTCAGTTACCTCTCCCTCGTCCTTTTATATTTTATAGAGAGCGCACCGCACCGTGGGGTCATCGATGCGCTTTTGTGCCGAACAATTGCCTACTTCGGTGCACTACACTTTTATTACGTAACACCGACGGCCATTGTGCTCCTATGTAACGTTGGAATTCGCGAACCTGGTAGATTTTTTCTTGAAACATCGCGCCAAGCTTATACCTCCTTTACTTTGCTGTATGTTCGTAAATTACGTCTTGAATTTAAAAAATTAATGAAATTTGAAGAATTAGAAGATTACAGTTATCAGGGACCAAAAATAAAAGTTAATTTGTAAGGTTTTGTGAAAAATATTATTGTCAAATGTGATTTTTGTTTAAATGGAACAAAAATGATGTCATTTTTTTGTTTATTTGAGTCTAATAATTAAATGTTCGTATTGTTATGAGATATAATAGTATTTAAATTTTTATGTTGCTATTTATTTAGTTTCCAGAAAATATTGATAAGTATATGCTGCGCAGTATGTACAACAAAACTATTTTCCAATTGTTCTTTCTGTAGAATAATAGGTACATATAATTGGATTAATATGATTTTAATGAAATGTTATACATAAACAGAATATCAATTTACTAGTAACTTTTATAATCCAAGATTTAAAGTGTTCTTACGAAACTCGTAGTTATAACTATTAATTTATGATCGCGGTATACCGTTTTCATATTTGTGAGGAACTTTTTAGATAAAAATTACTAAATAGGCTATGAGGAATGATGAGGTTTATGACAACATATTTTTAGTCGAATATAAGATAGAATGTTTAGAATAAAATTATAATAACTATGATAATGAACCAACGGGCATTATCTTAGAAAAATTCTATTGTAATTTTATGCAAAAATGTTAAACCACGAAATATAATGTGCAACTGAGCAGAAGCATCAACAATTTGATTTAAGGTCGACATGAATTTTTTAATTCGTCAATTTAGCAGTAATTATCGGCGCTTTCTTTCTGAGAGTATTACAAATTAACTTTTTTAACTAATAAAACCAATAAAGTTGGAAAGATAGCGATCGGACAATTTTTAAATGAAAGCAAGGGAAGAGAGTAAAGATAGCAGTAATAGAAGTAGAAGTTAGCGACGCATGCGCCTCGATTACGGCTCGCACCTCGTACATTCGTAGCGAGCAACTTCAGGTAGTGCCACAGTGGCACTCAAGCACCTGGGAGGGGCTAGCTCTTTTTTGTCAATAACATCTTTTCTGTTATTCATTTATAAGAAAAATTATCTTCGATGTAAATGATATAAAGGTTAACATTTCTTCAGGAATTGCAAGGACACGTAGTAAGTACTTATATATGTGACAAATTTTTCCCTGAAATTCATATCCAGTGTTTTTGACGTACCATAGATGTCAAATTAAAACTTTCCATGGATACATTTCTCATCCGTTCTTCTAGTAGTTCTTTACATTACGATTTTGGTATAAATTTTGTGCATCGTATTGTAAATTTTGCATTGAACTTTTCCTTTAATTAATGTACTTTTGTTTGATAACATAACCTCAATCACGTATTTTCCATACTCGGTTTATCGAACGTTCGCATTTGTCATTCCTTTTTCTTCCTCTTCGCAATTTCACATTTTTAGTAAAGATTGGCATATTAGGATAACGGTTAGGTTTTTTTTAGTTGCAGTATAACAAATTTTCAAGATGTCGACGTCTGCGATATATATTTTAGACGTGAAGGGGAAGGTTTTGATTTCACGAAATTATCGTGGAGACATAGAAACGGGTGTTATAGAAAAGTTCATGCCTCTCGTAATGGAACGCGAGGAGGAGGGCAATCTTACTCCGATCATACAAACCACAGAATGCACATATGCATATATAAAGTACAATAATTTGTATATCGTATCCACTACAAAGAAGAATGCAAACATTTCCTTAGTATTTGTATTCTTGCATAAACTGGTGCAAGTGATGCAAGAATATTTCAAGGAATTGGAAGAAGAAAGCATACGAGATAATTTTGTAGTCATTTACGAGCTTCTAGATGAATTAATAGATTTTGGGTATCCGCAAACTACCGATAGTAAGATATTACAAGAGTACATTACGCAGGAAGGACATAAACTTGAAATTCAACCGCGCATTCCCATGGCTGTGACTAATGCTGTATCCTGGAGATCAGAAGGTATAAAATACCGTAAAAATGAAGTGTTTCTAGACGTGATAGAGTCTGTGAATCTTCTTGCAAATGCTAATGGAAATGTTTTAAGTTCTGAAATTGTGGGTGCAATAAAGATGAGAGTTTATTTGTCTGGAATGCCAGAATTAAGACTCGGTCTTAACGACAAAGTATTATTCGAATCTACAGGCCGTGGGAAGTCCAAATCTGTGGAATTGGAAGATGTGAAATTCCATCAGTGTGTCAGATTGTCTAGATTCGAGAACGACAGAACAATTTCATTCATTCCTCCCGATGGAGAGTTTGAATTAATGTCTTACAGACTGAATACACACGTAAAACCTCTGATATGGATCGAATCTGTCATTGAGAGGCATGCCCACAGCAGGGTAGAATACATGATAAAAGCGAGATCGCAATTTAAGAGACGTTCTACGGCCAACAATGTAGAAATAGTAATCCCAGTACCCAACGATGCAGACTCGCCCAAATTTAGGACTACCGTCGGTAGTGTTAAATATTCACCAGAGCAGAGTGCAATAACTTGGTTCATTAAGTCATTTCCTGGTGGTAAAGAATATCTGATGAGGGCACACTTTGGTCTACCATCTGTCATTGGGGAAGACGTGGAAGGGAAGCCACCAATTCAAGTAAAATTTGAAATTCCGTATTTCACTACTTCTGGAATTCAAGTGCGCTATCTGAAAATTATAGAAAAGAGCGGATATCAGGCATTACCATGGGTGCGGTATATCACGCAAAATGGAGATTACCAGCTGAGGACGAATTAAACGTAAGAAATTTGTGAAGGGAAAAGACATTTTTAACACGTTACGCCAATGTTAATCGTAGATATAAAAGTGAAAACTAGTCGGTTTGCTACGCTTGGTACGCTTCCGAACACATTTACAATTAAATTTATGGCAAGTTTCGGAAACGATCGTGATCCGTATAAAAACTGAGATTTTGTAGAGAATGTAAAACTAGTGTTTGCGATATTGACTAATTATCGTCATTGATCTTTATTCGATACAGTATAATTATATATTAGTATAATTTTAATTCCTTTTGCTGTTTTGACACTTTAACATTTTTTCCGTGTTTTTCATGTTCTGTATATAATTCTTTAAGAACACTTGCAGTAATTTCTTCTCATCGTACTATAAACTATGGAAATGCAAAGTACGTACTTAATTTACTAGTTGTAATACGGTTTGATCCTATATTATAAATATGTATTCCAATGAAATTATCCAATGTAAAAAAGAAACAGAAAAATTGTAAATATATAGAAAGTTATAGTATTTGAGTGTTTTCATGGAATTGTTAACGAATTAATAGGCGTTTCCCTGTACTATCATAATCTGTAATAGTATTATAGACTTATTATTGTATGTCAGTATGACAACGAATAATAATATTGTTTTTATTGTAATAATAATTTAAGATACACAGAAGATTTATTAAATTTTTAACAAAATCTATCTACGCTCTTTTTATTATCTCGAAAAATCCATCTTTTATTGTTTTAAAAATAAACAGTTTTATGAGAAACAAAATTTCAGTTCAAAAGTTTTTTCCATTATTTATTATCAAGTACATATTCGATATTTCCTTTAAAACTGACCTGACTCGCTCATCAATTTTACTTTCTCATAATCCTGAAAAAAAGAACACATCACATGTTCTAAAAGAAACATTCTAATAAATAGATCCTCCTATTTACTCGCTTAATTCAACTTCGATAAAATCTACATTCGCAAGGTCTCGAATAAACCTGACTATCGAGTTGAGCGGAAATCGTTTGAAGTTAAAAGGCTGTCTACCTATGAGACTTCTATTCGTAAAAAGGCTATATCGCGAATTCGTTTGATAGCTTCGAAGGGAATCAAAGACGGTAGTATAGAAAAATCGCGAAAACATTACGCTTGATGTGGTTTCCCTTGGAAAATCTGTAAATATTCTACTGTGGACTACGTTGAATCGCGCGAACAGACGGTAGGACACGGAAACCCGATTAGAGCGAAACGCAGCGAGTCTTTTTTATTCGCACGGCCGCGACACGGTCACGCTATGCAAATTTCGGCGGTGTGCACGCTGTGTAATAATTTTATGGAAATTGCTGATCCTGCAAGGAATTTCGAAACGCATCTCGCCAGAGTAATACGTGCACAAACGTATCGGAAGGAGATGAAGGTAAAAAAAAAAAGGTCATCGTGAACAACCAGACCGACCCGTTCTACATCTTAAAGGGATTCTTTATATTTATTTGGCAATTTTTAAGAATTCTTCTCTTAGCTTGGCTATCGTGACTAGAATGTTGAACAAGTTCTACAATGGTTTCGTTACGTGGTTTGTGTTATGTATTAGATACGTGCGAGGAACTGATAACGACTCTCCGTTATCGCGGGATAAAGTATTTTTGAATAATTTTACCGTGTATTACGTAGCTCTTTGTGTACATGAGAATTCTTATAGACTGGTTTTTCACCAAAAACTTGAATGTGAAGTTCACTTTTTGTCAACAACACTATTAACGCAAAGTATTAAACGTTAAAATACCATTCTTTAATTTGTAACATGGTATTAAAATCAGAAAATTAACAGAAACGTACTTGCTAATGATGTTCCTCTTCTGTAATCTTCAAATGATATTTTCTTTTCCAAAGAACGAAAGCATCAAAATTTCTCGATTAATCTAATTATTTTACGTATCTTAACGTTATTTACCGCCTATGGTTTAACGTGCTAAACATAATTCTCACTAGACAACGCGATAAATATTCTTGGGGTACGTCAGTTATTTCTCTTTTCTCCTTTTTCATCGCTTTGCATCTGCAATTTGTGTATCAATTCGCAACATCGGCTAGCACATCGAAGGATATTTACGACAACACGTTTATTCGAAATTTCCTCCTATGGTATGCGCGTTTATGTACTCACACATACATACATATCTATAATAGTACGAGCATGCACCTGTATTATATCGCAGTCTTCAGCCGGAGATGTGATCAATAAAGGTTAATGTATACTCCACGAGTTTTCCATGGGCAACTGCAATTTTCAGCTTATCGGTTCGCACGGTGATGCCTCGAAAGAGGAATCTATATATAAATTCTTTATTATACCACAAAGGAGGGTAATTTATATTTGAGATCCGTTATCGCGGTGTTCGTGATACGGATGGATAGGTGGACCATCTTGCACAATTATTACCAATTAACGAGTTATTAGCGAAATTTTACAAGTCACAAGTTGCGAATTACAACGAGTTTGTCGCAACTCAAGCATTTTGAAATTTTATATTCAGTCACGTTTCGTAAAGTATAATGCTTCTATCAGATGTTTTATTAATATTATAATTAATTACTCTTTAAGAAATGTTATATGAATATTAAGTATCTTCTTGAAATCAAGTCGCTCGAACTCAAACAGCTTGGATTTAAGTAATTTGACTATTCTGAACGAGTCTTAAGGAATCTCCTACTCTCCTTGATTAAAATATCTTATCTGCGATTGTCAAATTGAAGAAAACTTCAAAGGCGCTTTTAGCTGTCCGAAGAAAAAGAGTTTATTTTTTTTCTTTGGTTAAAAAGCAAAGAACATGGGAAACTATAAATATTCTAACACATCTTGACCAACGAAAAAATAGTAAATAGCAGGTTTTAACGAAAGGGGATAAAACGTGTCGATATTTTCATTTGGAAGATGATATTACCTGCTTCGTACACGTTGTTCATATTGTGTATCTTGAAAAAAGCCGAGAGAAAGCATGCAAAGCCGGCGAGCCATCCGAAACCCATTAAGGATTGCAAATTATTGGAGCGAAATGATTCTTTCGTTTCTTTCCCTTAACCTTTTTTCGTTTCTTTTTTGCTTCTTAAATGGAAGCGTGGCCTCGCGAAGTTATTTCGTGAAATTGTTTTTCTATTGGAGGATTATTATTTCCTTTATCGTTAGAGCTACTAGACTTGTAATATATCTGTATATAATCAAATGTACCGTGTAGATATTAAGACAAATTATTATACGTATATATTTATAAAGTATTAGAAATACAAAATTAATCATCATAATATTCTCCAAATAAAATTCATTAAACGAATACAGATATTATATATATTATTGTAGTATCGGGGGAAAACCATGAGTAATTAAGAAGGTCTACTTGACCATGGGACCATGTGCAGGCCAGGTATACCAGAACCAGGGTATAAAAGGTAGCCGTTAGTGAGTCGAGGAGCTTTAGTGTTGCCAGCGAACTTTAGCGTTGCCGGAGTTGTCGGGCTTTTAGTGTGTTGCCAGCGTTGTCGAGGAGTGTCGTCAGCGTTGTCAAGGAGCGTAGTCGGCGTGGAAGAGAGTCATTGTGACGAGACGAGTTAGCGACGAATGATGACTGCGTGCATATAGACTGACGGAGCATCGTACTTGATTTTGTGTTGGCGTCAACGATATTGAAATAAATCATACCGTTACCAAACTAACTAACGCTATATCTTATAATTTATCCTATATTATTCTCTACATTTATCTTTACTAAAAATTACGTAAATACCGTATCTCCATCGCGTCTCTCAATTAAAATCACATCAACAGCACCAAAGGCCATCTATTATTTATTCAGAGATTTGGCCGATAAGAACAAGAAGCATCAAACAAATCCGAAATGTACGAGTGTAATCGTCAAATACAAGCAAGCAATCTCACGTAAGCCACGATCAAACACTTAGGCCATATCATTAACAGCGTGAAAACGAAAGAGATCGATTCGAATTAAGAATCCGTAATCCCCCTTTGAGCGGTGACGCGTGCCACTCGTCGCTTGATCGATCTTACAGAGGAGATAGAGGTTGAGGCTCAATTTCATGGTTCCCCTTTCACCCTTAACGTTCCTTTAATAGAAAAAGCAAATTCACCGAGGAAATCAGACTGGAAAGTGGCGGTGAACGAGGTACGAGGTACGCGTGCAAGCAACCCCTTAGGGGATCGGTTGCACACGTCTCGTGGAGCATCGGCCTCTCGATCGGCCCCGGAATTGCCCTGGGATTCTACGGCAATTCTAGCGAGGCCGATTTAAAAGTTGCATCCGAGATCCTGTCGCGAGATCCATGGCAGACGTCTGGTCGTCTCCGCCGCAGGATATTAAAACTTCGCGGGGAAATATATAGCGGTTGTCAGGTCGACTGGATACGTCGGGGGACGAATAAAAATGCGACTTATAGTACAGGCTGGAGAATAAGGAAAAAAAAAAAAGAAGGACGGCCAAAGTTGCGTTTTTCTCGAGGGACTTGCGGCCACGACTGCAAAACTCGCCGGAAACGGAGATTTAGACGGTGTCGTTGTTGGGATTGAGGATGCTGCTACTCCGAGGACTTGATCGTGTAACGATACGAGAGATGTTTTATGTCAGTAAATGGAAATATTTTACGTCGCGATGGTTGACTCGAGAGGACTTATGGCGCTGTTTAGGGTGTGCGTGATTTTGGAAAAAGTATATCGGATAATGGATTGGAAGAAAGTTCTTTTTAAATTTTGTTAATAGCCCATTGTTACAGAAACAAGAGTAAAAATGAAATTAAATTCGTTGGAAATCTGTTGAATTCTTCGCTCGGCCAGGTTCGTCGAGCGACCGACTTTTTGATCTTAAAGTCTTTGCTGTAAGCGCTTCTCTGTATGAAAAGTAGAACGTCAAATCGAATTTATACATTTCTATATGCACGAGTAACGTAGAACGAAAATTGTTTTGTCGTAAAACGAATTAGCACTGCAATTTGGACTTAATTTCAGCGGTTCCTGGGGAACGGCATCTCGCGATGTCGCTTAAATTCCGGGGGATCCATTGAATTACAGGAATATGAATCGCAAAACCCGTGGATAACTTCCGAGCTGTTTGGTGTACATTCACAGAAATACGTTCCAGAGGAGTTTGCCATTCGTAATTCAAGCCGAGTTTATGTACCTTGTGTACAAAGTGTTGGCACGAAGTTACAGCGCTAGAAATACTCCGCTTTTGAATCCCGAAAGTCATCCGTTTCCATGGCGGAAGTGGATGCACGCTGCCTGGTCCCGGTGGTAAGTGACACGTGGCAGCGTCTCGCGAATCTAAGAGTGTCAAAACTTTGCCAGACATTGCTTGTTTATTCATTTCTGTATCCTTGGGTTACGAGCGAGATTTGACGAAGGTAGGTAGAAACGCTGCTCTCCTGGATTACGGGGTAAAAAATTCAAGATAATTCAGATTTACCAAGATCCCGATGAAATTGAATAGAAAATCACGCTCTGAAACTTTCCTACTAAACGTCTCTTACGATGTTACAAATGGAAATTAATCAGGCAGCGTTTGAAAGTAACTTAAGTATAAAATAGTCGGACAACGAAGGATCTTGAAAGAGAAACAAATGTCCAAGATACCTAAGGATTCCACGGATTCGGTTATCGAAATTTTTCCCATTCC